TTCTCCTACAGCACATGAAGGACAACCATAAGCCTGGCGAAATGCCCTATGTGTGCCAGGTTTGCAATTACAGATCGTCAGCCTTTGCTGATGTGGAAACACATTTCAGAACCTGGCATGCAAACACTAAGAATTTGCTTTGTCCGTTCTGTCTCAAAATTTTCAAACTAGCAGCACCTTACATGTATCATTATAGAGGACACTGGGAAAAGTTTATTCATCAATGTTCCAAATGCCGGCTACAGTTTTTAACTTTCAAGGAGAAAATGGAGCACAAAACCCGGTATCATCAAATGTTTAAGAAGCCTGAGCAACTAGAAGGATTGCCTCCTGAAACTAAAATTGTTATTCAGGTATCACTGGAGCCTCTTCAGCCAGGGTCAGGGGAAGTAGCATCCATTACTGTGAGCACATCTGATTCTGAACCATCACTCGAGACCTAAAAGTAGGATTAGAACAACAACAAAAACAACAACCATTAATCCCATTTTCAGGAAATCTAAAGCAAGTACTTTAATGAAAGTGAGAAACCTCATAAAAAATACAAAACAATACCTTAAAAATAGTGAAACCAATGGGTCATTTATGATTTTTTTTATAAAATTCATGAAATTCAGTATTATTTGATACGAGTTTTGAGATGTTATTTAAAAAATGTATTAACTGCTCTTTTTGTGACTGTATCTGGCTTAACACATAAAAGGTGCTTGTGTGTGTTTATGTATGTGAAAGAAAAGCCAGAAACCTATTTATTATTTTTCTATGTTATATTACTTGTGGGTGTGAACGCTCTTTTTTCTGTATATAGAATGTGTAGAGTTATATGCCTTGAAGATTATATTAACTCTAGTCAAATTGGAATGGCCCTGGTATGGCATGGTCCTGTTTACTGCTGAAGTCCCAGAAGTGCCTCTGTTGTGCTGGCCTAAACAGCCTGCCTTTGAGCATCGGCATGTGGAGAAGTTGAGGGAGAAGCTATGGCATGAATGGGACCAGGAAGTGGGAAGTTAGTGGAGAGCAGAGGCTCTTTTCCCAGTGGAGAGAGCGGCACACTTGCACCTTGTCTTGGAGCCAAGACAGAAAGAATACCGTGTCAGTGTCATCATCCAGCCCATGTACATCCAAGGAAGCAAAGTCATTACGATAAAATCCTATGTTTGGTTAGGGGCTCCTGCAGACATCAAACAGTGTCTCATCAGCTTAAGCAGAGGAAGCTAATAGAATGGGGCCTGACGCCTATGGGCCTCTTGTTGATTGACCCACAGGGAAATCAATTTGTTCCCTGGCCTTTAGTCAGAATGAGCCACAGCAGTAAAGAAGTAAAGTTTCCCCTGACAAAGAAGCGCTGACATCCATAGTTTGAACTGTACTGGACCCAACATTTTAACTGGAAAGGGCCAAATTGTATGTTCAGTTCATGGACTGAGCTCAGTTTAGTTCGCTAACTGTTAAGCTGCAATGGGCATTGTCCAAGAACAGTAGGTACAGTGGATACAAATCGCCCAGGTGGCTTTCTAAAATTAAGCTTGTTACAGGGCTTTTCCTTCTATTTTTCTATGTTCGTGTATCTTCCCCTAATTGAACATGTGAAGTTTGCAACTTTGTACCTTGCCTTGTTGGGCATGAATGTATAACAGTTATTATTGTCTTGTGTGTGTAATTTCCCATTTTAAGAAATGAATACTTTTTGGATCTTACTTGACACATTCCAATGTGCAAGTACTGTTCCTTTTATTTCAATAAGTATTAGGTTGGAGAGTTACTGCCCTTCATCTAATCTGTCCACCTATCTACTATGTGAATATACTCTGAGGTGACCTTCCCCTGTCATTTCCTAGGGTCCTTTCACAGAACTGTGGAATACCTTCTGAGTTTGATTTTTGAACTTGAGCGGCCTTGGCTTCTGTGGGTTCCCAGGGTTGAGTCTCCCTCAGTGCATTCTAGTGCCAGCCCTTCTCCTTGGACCCCCGCCCAGGTACCTAGCAGCCTCTGGGCGCCACTCAAGGAACCTGGGATCCTGGCTAGAGAGCTAAGTCAAGAAAATCTTCTTTCCTTGCTTTCTTTCCTTCAAGGCACCTTATATCTCCCCACTCCTTTCTTCCATCCTCAACCTATTTAAATTCTGTAAGCTTTCACAAAAACCTGAGAAGTGATAATCACCAAGGGTTTACCATCCCTCTTAAGAGTTGGGGAGGAAGGACTCGACAGTAAAGTAGCTGTGAGTATATTGTCCATGTTTTAGATAATATCCTTGATGTGAATTCTTGTTGTATTTGTTCAATGCTTGACTAATTGATTGATGGATCTGCACTTTGAACATTTTACTAGGCCTTTTTTCAGTTTGTTTGCTTGGGCCAAGGCACTTTGCTAAAATTTTAGCCTGAACTCCTTTCTTTAGGGGTAGAAATGTGTGTGTGTGTGTGTGTGTGTGTTTGTGTGCCTGCGCGCGCATTTCATGTTGTGGTATCAAGTAGAAACTTCTGGGTATAACTAGATTTTTAGACTTTGCATACTTCTCTCTCTTATTCGGTTTCAATGGTAAAAATATGAAATGTTTTTATTCTATGTGTGGTTACTTGGTTTTATCAACTGTTACTGTTGTTTGCTATTTCACTAAAATATGCCCCTAAGGAGTACAAATTGTTACTTATTGCCAAGGTTTCAGTCATATACCTCCTCTCTCTCTCATTCTGTGCCATGCTACTCCATTCCCCCACTTAGGCACTGTTTTTGACACACTGGCCTTGCTTTTCCTCAAGAAAAATCACATTTCTTCCTAATCCAAAGACTTTGCAACTGTTTTTCTTTATCTTAGAATCCTCTTCCCCTAGACCTGCATGGCTTTCTACCTCAATTAATTGTTTGACATTTCCTTTGATTCATTGAGTTTCATTAAAGTTCTTAAAATGACACTAACAATGAAATTCGGCCCCCACCCTTTTCTCCTAAAGGGACACTTTATATCTCCTCTCTACTTTCTTCCCTCTCTAATCTAGTTAAATTTCCTAGGTTTTCACAAAAAAAACTAGGAAGAGTTCATTATTAAGGACTTTGCTCCTCTCTTAGAATGGAGGCCGCTCAAGTCCATTTCTGTGCCTGCAACCAAAAGAAAATGAATATAATGAGTTGAGTTCCTTCAGGAGCTTTCTCTGTTTTTCTATCGATATCTGTATATTTTTTAAAAAAGCAACGCCACTTTGTTTTGTTTACAGATATATTGAATAGCTGTCAAGATTACTATTTTGTTATTACCCTTCATGAATGTCTACGTCTATTTGGCTTGTTTGTTCTTTCAGATAAATATTATTTTATTATTGTTGCCAAAAATTCTAAATAAAATAGCAATTATAATAATAAAATGTTATTTTGAAAAAAAAACATTTTTGTTATTTGTCTTTTCATTGTTAACATGGCATATTTATCATTTAATTTTTTTAGCACTAGGTAAACTCTTTGCCTTTCCTCCAATTTTATTTATTTTTTAAAATATATTTTGTATTGTTTTCAGAGAAGGAGTGTGAGAAAGAGATAGAAACATCAATGATGAGAGAGAATCAATCATTGATTGGCTGCCTCCCGCACGCCCCCAACTGGGGATTGAACCCACAACCTGGTCATGTGTCCTTGACTGGAATGGAACCCAGAACCCTTCAGTTGGAAGGCCGACACTCTATCCTCTGAGCTAAACCGGCTAGGGCAACTGGATTAAAGACAGAGCTCACAGTTGGGAGTTTACTAGTGTCTATTGATGTATGAAAAAGTACAGAACCAACAGTTTAAAAACACACACACAAAACATTTGTTACCTTACACCAAGCGTATCAAACTTGTGGCCCGCAGGCCGATTGTGGCCCTCCACGAATAGTCATTAACGATGACTCATTTAGTTCAGCCCTTTGCATTCAGCATGTCTCTATCGAAACAAACCTGACCTACGTTTCTATGAAAAGGGAAGCTTCTGTTTTTTTGTGGCCCAATACACATACACCTTGTTTGTTTGGCCCGTGTTAGCCTTTGAGTTTGACATGCTGGCCTTACACTGTTTCTGAGAGCCAGGAGCCCGGAGCAACTTCGCTGGGTGGTTCTGCTTCAGGGCTTCCTGAGGGCTTAGTCACCTGAAGGTTCGCCTGGGGCTGGAGGACTTGCTCCCAAGATGGCTCCTCACTTGGCCGATGACGGGACACTGGCTCCTTTCTGGCTGAGCCTCTCAAGACACGACTAGCCGGCTTCCAGGGCGAGTGAGCAGGGCAGCGAGCCAGGGCTCTGCAGTGCCTTTGCGGCCTCGTCTCAGCAGTTTGTCTTTTCCACGCTGTTCTTCGTTCGAAGGGAGGCGCTCAGCTGAGCCCACTCGTTAAAGGGAGTTAATTTGGTCCATTTCCTAATGTTCAAGTCCTTGCCTTCTCTGGTCCTTGGCCTTCGCCGCTGTTTGCAAAGGTTTACAGCCGTGAGACTCCCTCACGTCTCACCTTCTTAAGTGCTGCCCAAACAGAGCTCTGTCTGTGTTACCCTGGCTCCGAACAGTCCTTTTGCCCTTCCCCTCCATCATCCTGAAGACCTCAAACCCACTGCCACCTCACTCAGAGCAGCAGGAGCATGAACCCCGGGAGGTGGGGTAACTGGGGGTGGGCTGAGGGGTTGTTACCGACAATCTGCCCTCCGGCTCTTGGAGATTCACATCCCTCTCCTATGGCAGACGCATTGCCTAGGCCTGTGGTCAGCAAACGGTGGCTCGCAAGCCACGTGCAGCTCTTTGGCCCCTTGAGTGCGGCTCTTCCAGAAAACACCACGGCCTGGGCGAGTCTATTCTGAAGAAGTGGTGTTAGAAGAAGTTTACGTTTAAAAAAATGTGGCTCTCCAAAGAAATGTCCATTGTTGTCCTGCTGGTATTTGGCTCTGTGGACCGATGAGTTTGCCGGCCACTGGTCTAGGCCTCTGGTTCAGCTTTGCACACACACAAGGGAGATCTGCAGGCGCCGAGGGAGGAGGCGCTGAGCCGGGGTTTATGTCTCACTTCCCCGCCAGCACCTGTCACTGTGCGAATGGTTGCTGAACCACAGAGCGCAGTAATACTCCGCCTCGTCCTCAGGCTGGGCCCCCGTGATGGTGAGGGTGGCCTTGTCTCCAGTCACGGCGCCGGAGAACCGGACGGGAACCCCGGGAACTCGGTTGGTGGTACCACCTATTAAACCCTTGGGTACCTGGTAGGGCTTCTGTTGGACCCAGTTGGCATAATTACTGGTGCTGACGGCCCCGGCGCTGGAGCCACAGGTGAGCACGACTGTCCCCCCGGCGTTTGTGGTCAGCGAGGTTGGCTGAATCACAGACTGGGAAGTGGCCCCTGAAAACAGGTGAGAGACCAAAGGTCAAGAACGGGGACGGGGTCATGAAAGGAGCATTGTGGTCTCTCTCTCACTCCCGCCTCCCACCCCGCAGCCCAGAGAGTCGCCCCTGACCTGTGCAGTGAGCCAGCAGCGCGAGCAGGAGCGAAGCCCAGGCCATGGTGTAGACGCCCCCGCTGTGCTTCTGGAGCCCTCTTAGCACAGGGTCAGCCTACACTGCTCTCGTTTTTAGCTCCTTCCAGCCTCTGGGCGTGGGCATTTCATGCAAATAAGCTCCCCTCCCTGGGGTGCTCAGCAACGGGGCCCCCTTCACAGCCCCTGAGCTGCTCCACATGAGTGACACAGGTGGACCCAGGCATACAGGACCATGTCACAGCTGAGCTTGCCTGCCTGCCTCCCAGGCGCTGGCTCACAGCCCCCTCTAGTGTCCATAGTGAGACTAGCACCAATGGGCAGATTCACCCCTGCAGGCCCTCTTGGCTCTGGTCCTGAGCATCTAGTTCTCTCAGTGGCTCAGTGCCTTCACTCTGCCCCTCCCATTTCGTCTTTTGGAGAAGCTGAACTCGGATTCTATCTCCTCCTTGCTTAGAAACCTTTATGGGCTTCCTGTTGTCCACCCCTTTCTTGTCAATGCCACCTCTAGTCACACTGCCCCATATGCCTTAGTCTCCTGGCCTGGTTGTCCCTCACTTCCCTGTAGGGTCAGCCCCAGGAGCATGGGACCCCGTCTTTCTTGCCAGGGCTGTGCTCTGAGCTCTAGACCCGAGCCTGGCACAGAGCCCATGATCAGAAAAACATAAGGACATGCCGAGACCAGTTTGGCTCAATGGATAGAGCGTCGGCTTGGGGACTGAAGGGTCCCGGGTTCGATTCTGGTCAAGGGCATGTACCTTGGTTGCGGGCATATCCCCAGTAGGGGATGTGCAAGAGGCAGCTGATTGATGACTCTCTCTCATCGATGTTTCTAACGCTTTATCTCTCTCCTTTTCTCTCTGTACAAAATCAATAAAATATATTTTTTAAAAAGAAAAGAAAAAAAAAAGAAAAACATAAGGACAGACAGACCTCCACATCTGCGGTTCTGTTTCCCCTCAGGGGGACCCAGCTAGACTCGGTCCCTGTTCCGACCTGGCTCATTGCAGACTCTCTCTGCAGGGCAGGCTGCCGCTGGGGTCGTGAACTTCAGCTGACAAGGGCGCCCTTTGAGGGGCAACTTCGGGAGGACGAGGCTGCGTTCCTTAGACCAGCGGTTGCCAATGTTCTGGACCTCTCGGACCACCGTCTGGCAACCGCTGCTTTAAACAATTGTCCTGACTTGAGACCTAGACCATATGTAGGGGGTCGCACTAACCCACATGCAAACAAAAGCTTCCGAAGGAAAATAGCAGGCTTCGCCTCCTGACTTCACAAAAGCCACACCATGGAACAGGAGTATTTTATTAAAAGCAAGATTAATTAGCCCTGGCCAGTTTGGCTCAGCAGTTAGAGCATTGGCCCATGGACCAAAGGGTCTTGGGTTCCATTCCCGGTCAAGGGCTTGTACCTTGGTTTTAGGTTCAATCCTCCTCCCCCAGTTGGGATGCAAATAGGAGGCAACTGATTGATGTGTCTCTGACATATCGATGTTTGCCTTTCTTTCTCTCTCTCTTTCTCTCTCTCTCTCCCTCCCATCCTGTCCACTCTCTCTAAAAATCAGTGGGAAAAATGTTCTCACTCATTGGGTGAGGATTAAAAAATTAAAAAGAAATATACACACAAGGTTAATTATATAGCATCATTTAATATATATATATATATATATATATATATTTATTTATTTAAGAAAGAATGGAAGAGGTGGAGATAGAGAGAAACATCAATGATGAGAGAAAATCAATCATCAGCTACCTCCTGCACACCCCACACTGGGGATTGAGCCCACAACCCGGGCATGTGCCCTGACCCAGACTCAAACCCTGACCTTCTGGGTCTTAGGTCAATGCTCAACCACTGAGCCATGCCAGCTGGGCACCCATCTTTTCAATGGATGATACACATTTGCTGCTTGAGAGCTGGTGTGTCTGATCATATGATGCCCTTATCACAGGCCCCAGTGGCGGTTTACGTCCTGGTTCCCCATCTGCGTCTCTCACTGTGCCCAGCACCGCTGTACCACAGAAGGCAGAAGTACACAGCCTCGTCCTCAGGCTGCACCCCTGCCAGGGTCAGGGCGGCTTTGCCCCCTTGGATGGAGCCTGAGAACCGGGCCGGGGTCCAGGAGTGTTTCTTGTTTGTGTCATAAATGAGTCCCTTGGGGACCTGGCCAGACTTCTGCTGGAGCCAGTACGGGTAGTGGCCATCGGTCACCGCTCCGGTGCTGGAGGCACAGGTGAGAGTGACCTTCCCTCCAGGGGACACAGTCACTGAGCGCTCCTGAGTGACCACAGCCTGAGACCTGGACCCTGAAACAAAAGCAGACACATGTCAGGGATAAGGAATCAAAGCAGAGGGACACCATTCCCCCCACCCCAAAGCTGGTATCGGGGGGTCTGTATTCACCTGGACAGTGAGTGAGGAAGAGGAGGAGGAGGAGGTGGAGGACAGGAGTGCAGGCCATGGTGCAGATGTCAGGAGGGCCTCCGGGCTCTGAGCTGGGGCTGGCCTCTCTGCTGCCTCTTTATCTCCTGCTGAGCTGCTGTATGAAGGGGTGTGTGGAGGGTCGCCTTATGCAAATCTGAGCCTGTCACCACTCCGTCCACCACCCGGGTCCTCAGCTGTGGGAGCAGCTACACGGTCAGCGGGTAAGCCGGGGGTGGGTGGAGGCTGTACGTCTACCCTGTGGGAGGAAACAGCTGCTCTAGGCTGTTCTGCCGGCCAGTGAGCAACCTTCAGGGTCCATTACATTCCAGCCACCTGTCATTCAGGCCGCTGAGAAGATCCGCAGCGCCCCCTGGTGGGCTTCTTGGGCTGAGAGCCTGTGGTCTCCTCTCAGGAACATAACTGTTGACTTAGCTTGTTAACATCCCAGCTGTTGCTCCCCAGGCCATTCCGCATTCATGTCTTGTCTCTTCTTGGCTCATTCCTGTTGGTACATCTTCCTCTGGTTGTTGTTGAAATCCTGCCCAGTTTCTGTCAGTGTCAGTGTCACGGTTACATGATTCCAGGAGTGATTTCAGGGCCAACTGACTCTGTGGACATCATTTGTTTTGAGCCTTACATTGAATAGACAGCTGGTTGTAGTCAGAATTTTAAAAAATAATTTATGTTAGGGAATTAAAGGAAAATGACCAAGGTTAAATATTTCAGGGCCAAATGGGTGGAGACTAAAGTCATCTGTGTGAATGGGCAACATGACCAGGTCTCCCCTAAAAAAAAAAAAAAAAAAAAAAAAACACAAAAAAAAACACCTCTGGACGCCGAGCTTGGGTGAACTTTCCTGGCGGGCAGCACTCCGTGCAGAGGGTCGCACATGCGTGTCGGGGGAGATCCCTTTGTCCGTGACTCACCCACTGGGAGGAGTCAGGGGAAGCTTGCACTTGGAATTCTTGAGGGCCCTCCTCATGGGCCTCTTCCTTTGACCAGTTTTCATCAGAAAAATATATATATTTTAAATTTCCAGCTTCAGCTGGGGTTCATTGTACCAATGAGAAGTGGGCATAAGGTGAGAATGATCTATACTTATCACGGGGTAATGTGCAAATTGATTAGGATGCTATCACATAATTGATTAGGATGCATGTGTCAGTGGGTGGGGTGGCCAGCTGAGGCAAGCAGCAGCAGTGAGCTACTCATGCATGTATTCATGTGCAGGGCCTCTCGTTTGTTATATTTTTATTTAGAGAGGACTACCTGGAAAATACAGATGAATGCTCAGAGGCTGAATGTGGAAAGTTTTACAGCCAGACCCCAGATCTAATTCAACACAGGTGTTAGTGAGTAAATCCGGGGAAAGGCAATGAGATAGGCTTATTGCAGCTTTTTACTTTGTAGTCATTTTAGAGCTCAGAAATGCTGCAGAGAGAGTACACATATCCTTTACCAACTCTCCCCTGATGTGAGCAACTTACATAGCCACGGAAAATATTAAAATGATCAAAAACCCACTTAAAATGGATAGCCCAAATGATAGTCCTGTGGTTGTCAAGGAAACTCCGTTTGCAGGTAAAATTCAGACACTACCCTTCACCTTCCTTCGATGGATGGTCAGGGTTCTGGCTCCCCAAGTGCTCAGATGTCTGTTATGTGACACCAATATCACAGGACCATGTTTGCACCCACGCTCAGCCACGCTTGGGTTTATGTCCTGGTTCCCCATCTGCGTCTCTCACTGTGCCCAGCACCGCTGTACCACAGAAGGCAGAAGTACACGGCCTCGTCCTCAGGCTGCACCCCTGCCAGGGTCAGGGCGGCTTTGCCCCCTTGGATGGAGCCTGAGAACCGGGCCGGGGTCCAGGAGTGTTTATTGTTTGTGTCATAAATCAGTGCCATGGGGACCTGGCCAGACTTCTGCTGGAACCAGTGTGGGTAGTTGCCATCGGTCACCGCTCCGGTGCTGGAGCCACAGGTGAGAGTGACCTTCCCTCCGGGGGACACAGTCATTGAGGGCTCCTGAGTGACCACAGCCTGAGACCAGGACCCTGAAACAAAAACAGACGCATGTCATAGATAAAAATCAAAGCAGAGGGACACTACCTTCCCCAAATCTGGTATCAGGGGGTCTGTATTCACCTGGGCAGTGAGTGAGGAAGAGGAGGAGGAGGAGGAAGAGGAGGACAGGAGTGCAGGCCATGGTGCAGACGTCAGAGGGGCCACCTGGCTCTGAGCTGGGGCTGGCCTCTCTGCTGCCTCTTTATCTCCTGCTGAGCTGCTGTATGAAGGGGTGTGTGGAGGGTCGCCTTATGCAAATCTGAGCCTGTCACCACTCCGTCCACCACCCGGGTCCTCAGCTGTGGGAGCAGCTACACGGTCAGCGGGTAAGCCGGGGGTGGGTGGAGGCTGTACGTCTACCCTGTGGGAGGAAACAGCTGCTCTAGGCTGTTCTGCCTGCCAGTGAGCAACCTTCAGGGTCCATTACATTCCAGCCACCTGTCATTCAGGCCGCTGAGAAGATCCGCAGCGCCCCCTGGTGGTCTCTTTGGGCTGAGAGCCTGTGGTCTCCTCTCAGTTAGGAACATAGCTGTT